ATTACAGTTAAACAGATTATATTATCATGACGTCACAATGCAACTTTATACAATGTACAATGTATACAGTTGCATTGTGACGTCATGACAAAGTGGCGTCATAATATAATCTGTTTAACTGTAATCACTTCTCCCTGAACATAAAAGTGAAACATGTTGGAGAAGATCCGTATCGTGTAATTATTTCAAAGATATCTACTTACACACACACACACGCACACACACACACACACGCGCACACACACACACACACACACACACACACACACAGAGAGAGGCACGCACACACACACGCGCACGCGCGCGCGCGCACACACACACACACACACACACACACACTTATATATGTACTATTGTACACTTGGCAATCTCACCACTTTCTTTATATATATGTGACGAATAGACATTCCCTAAGTATTCGGTTCAAAACACGTCCGGTTTCTAAAGTTATTTCTAGTTTTCTAATAATTATCCAGCCGAGAACCTGGCATCCTGGGCCCCTTTCACAAGGCGATTTATCTCACTCACGTATATTGTTGATCGCTTTGCTGAACGAGGTCCAGGTGTTAAATGAATGAATACCTGGCTTCCATGTGTCCCCCCTTCCACTCGGAAAACAATTAGCGTATAATTTATTTTGTGTTCTGTCTGTACCAGCCAGCATGTAAACATTCAACGAGTATTGATATACAAAACCAACAACTCATGCCCGGGGAAATCCCGAAATATATGTCAGCCTCTCGTCACGATGTTTTAAGAGTCATCGACCGATAATCTTAATGTTCTGAATAGAACGAATCAGAATCAGTTGTTCGGACGATCCATTTTGTAGTGTGCGGTGAGATGTCTGGTAGGTGTAGCTGGATGATGTAAGACCTTTTAATTATTTGTTTTACGTGTACAGTCATCCAGGAAATAATTTAATGTGAGTTTTTCAATATTTAGTGCAGCCGTTTTCAACATGATGACAAATTCATGCATATTCAAAGATGTGTCTAGTTACAATATTTGTTTATCTTTACAACACACTCTTACTGCATGAAAAATGTCATAATAGTACATGTGGTTGATGGTATACATAAACCAATGCTCAAACGATTGCAAGACAGCGTGAATTCTAGAGTAATGATCAAATGATTACAAGGCACCATGAAACATAACGTAATGCTCAAACGATTGCAAGACAGCGTGAATACTACAGTAATAATCAAATGATTACAAGGCACCATGAAACATAAAGTAATGCTCAAATGATTACAAGACACCGTTAAATCTACAGTAATGAGCAAATGATTACAAGGCACCATATAACGTAATGCTCAAATGATTACAAAACACTGTGAAACATCAGGTTATGCGCAAGATTACAAGACATCGTGAAACATAAAGATATACTCACACGATTACAAGAAAATGTGAAATATATAGTAATGAACACATGATTACAAGACACTGTGAAACATAACGTTATGCTCAAATGATTACAAGACACTGTGAAACATAAAGTTATGCTCAAATGATAACAAGACACTGTGAAGCATAAGTTATGCTCAAATGATTAAAAGACACTCTGAAACATAAAGTTATGCTCAAATGATAACAAGACACTGTGAAACATAAAGTTATGCTCAAATGATAACAACTCACTGTGAAGCATAAAGTTATGCTCAAATGATAACAAGACACTGTGAAGCATAAAGTTATGCTCAAATGATTACAAGACAATGTGAAGCATAAAGTTATGCTCAAATGATTACAAGACACTGTGAAACATAAAGTTATGCTCAAATGATTACAAGACATCGTGAAACATAAAGTTATGCTCAAATGATTACAAGACACTGTTAAACATAAAAAAATAATGCTCAAATGATTACAAGACACTGTGAAACCTAGAAAAGAGAATCATTCAGTAACTTGGCGTGGTCAACGGTCACTGTGGAATTTCCCATATCAAATGAGAATGTAGTATGGAATTATTTGCGGGGTAAATATCATGACACAGCGGTAATACTGCTTGACGCTCACTGCGTGCAACGCTTACCTCCATTACATCACACGTTTATTACTGTAAACAATCCACCATCGGTGGTACAAGAGTATAACAAAGGAGTACCTACGATATGTACAACAACATGACTAAATGATACATCAATTAAAATGTTTACAAACAATCTTAATGAACTTGGATACATTTTTAAGGGTGGATATTTTACTTGAAAAAAGTTGACGGAACTTTGACATATTTGGCCAGGAACTATAAAGTTTTTTCTTTTAACAACGATTTACGTATGTCTGCAACATAATTACATTTAAACAAATAGTGAAACTCATCTCCAATCAAATGTGAGTCACATAAGTTACAAAATCTTTGTTCTTTTGGGGAATTTTGCCATCTCCCAGTTTCTATGGGAAGTTTATGGTTGCATGTTCTAAAGTTTAGGATCGGTTTAGAAATATCATCTGAGAGAAGTAGGTATTATTCAAATTTTGGAGAGCGCTTCAAAACTTTATAGTATATTCCTTTAGAGGAATTTTGCATATCGCTCGTCCATGATTGTAAAAATTGGTCTTTTAAAATAGATTCAACATTTGAAATGATCCATGAATTTGAGTATAGATGAGGGTTGTCAAAAACATCAGGCAATCCGCACCTACAGAGAATATGTTTAATATGACTTAGCCAGACATAGTTATTTGATGTTTTGTTTTGTTTAGTAATATATTGAAGAATAAAGCTGCTATTTTGTTATTTGGATGTGATAATGTCAATTTACACCAGTACGAAATTAGTCGTTTCGATATTTGAAGCTGAATAGGTACCCTACCAAGTTCCCCGTACACCATGAAATTAGGGGTGTTATATTTTTAACCAGTAACTAATTTAAGAAATTTTAGATGTACTCCTTCTATCATGTAAGTCTTCTCATGTCTCTATATTACACAAACTTACCACGGAGGGATTACTGCTAAAGGGGCATAACCCATGTCTCCTTATCTCGGGAAACTGTTGGTCAGCCATCTTATTTTCATTACTCACTTTGCTCTTGTTTAAAGACAACTTGCGTATTGGGACGCAGTTAGGTTTGTATTGGCCAAAATCACCCTAAAACCACACCATACCATCTCGTGTTAATGAATTTTACTCCAAAACGGTATAAAGAGTGAGAAAAAAACCCAGATACATATTTGTTTCCGCTATATTCACATGGTGCCGCCTCTCGATACCTCGCCGGATGGTGCACCTTAGTGAAAGAAGAACAATAAAATCCTTTATCTGTATTTTTTACTCGGCGTTATGTCCTATTCTGTCTTTGTTTTCATCCCTGAATCACATGTCTGTTTTAACACATAAATGGACTTTCATGGATTTCATTTTGTCCTTTCAGTCACGTACTGGGTCTCAGTTTTACCATATACTCCAGGAGCAATAATTTATGCCGATCTGCAGCTCTGTTTTCTACATAACACATGCATGCAGGATATATGTACATGTACCTATTTTTACTCCTCGGTAAGAGTATTACCACGTTGGAAAAAACAAACTGGATAGAAAGCCTTTAATGCCTGGTTCCATACAAGATTGGTACTTTCCTATGTGGCTGAATACGATCATACAAGAGCATTGACCCGTGAAGATCTGGGTTAGAATTGATCTTCAGTATTTAAAAGACGACTAACGGGATCGGGTTGTCAGGCTCGCTGAATTGGTCGATACATGTCATCGGTTCCCAATTCCGTAGATCGATTTGCATGCTGTTGTTCCCTGGATTGTCTGGTCCAGACTCGATTATTTACAGACCGCCGCCATATAGGTGGAATATTGCTGAGTGCGGTGTAAACCTAAACTCACTCACTTACTGCAAGAGCATTGCGGGTGCCACGCGCTACATTCTATACGCTATCAGAATCAATATAACGTCAGGGCAATCTAATTGTAATAAAACGTGTTCATGTTTTTATACTAAGCTAATTTTGGTAGAAAAACTCTTTTTAAATTGAAAAGTGTGTTTGAATATTCAAGGAATCTATACTTGCTTCATTTAGGGCTTATGCTTTGCAGAAAAGGATGGGCGGAAGGGAAATAAATGTGGTTCTGGGATGGGAGACAGACTATCTTGTATACAGGAGAGTATCAAGACTTGATAAGGTTCACTCGTCCTGGAATTGGCATCACTGAAACATGAATGATTAAATATGAATTTAGTCCCGGATGTAAATTGTACAGGTTTTTTTTCAGATTGCATCGTTTGTCGGGTCATGTTGACACGGAACATACCAATCTACATGCATAGGTAACCATATTGCAACCTGATATTATTTCTTCGTACTCCCGGATGTAAATTGTACAGGTTTATTTGTTCAAATTGCACCGTTTGTCGGGTCATGTTAGCACGGAACATGCCAGTCTACAATTATGGGTACTGTTATAAGGTAAAAATGCATCCCTAAATCAGTAAGAGAATTACATCAGATTCTGTATAAAGATTTTAGTTTGGCTCATGAGTGATAACGGTTAGACACTGTTTGGAGACAGAAAGTCTAAAGAGAATGGAGAGTAACCGAACGGTACTTACCGATAATTTCTGGGCGCAAATAGGCCTCTTAATGGTCCACGTCGCCCTAAAACTATAAAACCAACCGATAATTTTCCAATCATAATATTCATCAGTGCTAGAACGTACGAAAGCGTCCTACGGAAGCGCCCTAGTGCCACAGTCTGAATTTTTTTATCTCCTTAGATACTATCTCCTAATTAGGACATACTATTTTCTAATTAGGACTTAACTATCTCCTAATTAGGACTTAGCTATCTCCTAATTAGGTGATCCTATCTCCTAATTAGGTGATCCTATCTCCTAATTAGGTGATACTATCTCCTAATTAGGACATACCATCTCCTAATTAGGACTTACTATCTCCTAATTAGGTGATACTATCTCCTAATTAGGACTTAACTTTCTCCTAATTAGGACTTAGCTATCTCCTAATCTGCCTCCAGATCAGCCAGTGGATTACCGACATAGCTGCTGAATATCCCAACATTGTCACCGTTATAACAGCGTCACAGACATACGAAGGCAGGAACGTCCGGGGTCTTAAGGTAACTTCAGCATAATCCATAAAATGAATTTGATATTGGATATCATTAAACAATATTCTCTGTCGCAATAATAATAAAATAATGTAACATTATATTTTTGTAACTGGGATCATTTTTATCAAATTCAGTGATACTCTTCGGACAAAGTCATAAACTGACATACAATAGAAGAAGTATTTGTGACGTGTCAGTCACAATCAAAACACTTTTCAAAATATTTACGGGGTGTTTGTTTTGTTGTTGGTTTTGTTGGGTTTTTTTCTGTTTTTTTTTGTCCTGTGTTGGTTTTCTATTTTATTTTGCAGTTTAATTTTTAATATTTTATTATAATATGTTATTTGTTGTTTTAATTATTTTATTTATTTTATTTTATATATATTATTATTATTATTTTTAAAAATATTTTTTTATTTATTTATTTATTTATTTTTTTTAGGAGGGAGAGGGTTTAGGTTGATTAATAATCCCACAGCAATGGGGGTCTACTTTCTGTAGTTGGTTAAGTAACTCTATGTTTAATTAGACCCGTGAAGATCCGGGGTAGAATAGGTCTTCAGCAACCCATGTGCTTGCCATAAAAAGGCGACTATCTTGTCGTAAGAGGCGACTAACGGGATCGGGTGGTCAGTTTCGCTGACTTGGTTGACACGTGTCATCGGTTCCCAATTGTGCAGATCGATGCTCATGCTGTTGATCACTGGATTGTCTGGTCCAGACTCGATTATTTACAGACCGCCGCCATATAGCTGGAATATTGCTGAGTGCGGCGTAAAACTCAACTCAACTCACTCACTCACTATGTTTAATTACCTTCTCAGATATCAGCGAGCAATACAACGAAACCAGGCCTGTGGTACCAAGGCGGTATACACGCCCGAGAGTGGATCTCCCCCGCCACTGTAATATACATCACAGCACAGGTAGGTGGAGGTCACACGGGATCCAATCATCACATCCTAGACATTCTATCAGTGCTTCACACCTTTATCAAGGCGTATCAGTATATGTATTTTATGTATACATTTACAACTTTTATAGTCACGATATTGCTTAAATACAGCCGATGTGACTTTAATTTTAACTCACTCACTCACTAACTAACTAACCCGGATCTTCACGGGTATATTTTGCGATTACGTACCTTGAGACGTCATAGGCACGTTACCTGTATTGAAAATCCCATTGACATAATGCATGTAAAGTCTATGGCACCTGTACAAAGTACATCACCATCGAATAACAATTTCTTGTTTGTGACCATTAAATACGTGTGTACAGTATATAACGGGAAAACAGTACATCAACAGCATTGGGCATATGACACACCTGAATAGGTGTGGGAAATATAATTCACTGTACCTTATGATCTCACAGCTGCCCTACACATTGTTATCAGTGCCGTTGATAAGGAATCCATTTACATATGTAAATATGTAAACGATATGTAAATGAATTGATATGATCGAGTCATAAATAGTTAGTAAAGTACATGGTTCAACAATCATTCTTCAGTTACTGGAACAATACCCCACACGGTCAGGGGTGAAGGAGATTCTGGAGGGATTTGATATCTACGTCGTTCCCGTCCTCAACGCCGACGGCTACGTCTTTACGTGGACAGAGGTGAGGGAACTTTAATAGTAAGTCCCACCTTAGTATTGTATTAACAGAGGTGAGCCCACTTTAATATTAAGTCCCACCTTAGTACTGTATTCACAGAATTGAGGCCACTTTAACAATAAGTTCCACCTCAGTATTGTATTAACACAATTAAGGGCACATTAAAAGTAAGATCACCTTTGCATTGTATTCACAGAGTTGAGGCCACTTTAATAGTATGTCCCACCTTAGTACTGTATTCACAGAATTGAGGCCACTTTAACAGTAAGTTCCACCTCAGTATTGTATTAACACAATTGAGGGCACTTTAATAGTAAGATCACCTTTGCATTGTATTCACAGAGTTGAGGCCACTTTAAAAGTATGTTCCACCTTAGCATTGTATTCACAGAGTTGAGGCCACTTTAACAGTAAGTTCCACCTCAGTATTGTATTGACAGAGGTGAGGCCACTTTAACAGTAAGTTCCATCTCAGTATTGTATTGAAAGAGGTGAGCGCACTTCATTTTACAATATTGTAAAATGTTATTGAATCGTACACTCACACATAGTAACATGGTACAGGAACGTCTCTGGAGGAAGACGAGAACAGAGCATGGCATTTGCAAGGGGGTCGACCCAAACAGGAATTACGGATTTCAGTGGGGAGGTAAGTAAATATAAAACAATGTTCCACATCAATAAGAAAAGCGACGAAGCCCTTTCCACATCCAACAGAAATTCCTGCTGAAAGAAGAGCTGGTTGTACAAGTCATGAGCATATATTTGTGAATCACTATCAAATAATGACACCAGGTGTTCGCGAAAAGGCAGCGTACTCTGCTCCATCGGTGGCAGCATTCATAAATATACCTAGTCAATTGTTGACCTGAAAAAATCAGGAACTTATCATGGTACAAGCCAAAATAGAAAATTGCTTCGGACATCATTTTTGTCACTGATGCATCAAATTTGGATATGTCTGCCATAATACGCTTTGGAAGCTTTACTGAGGCTTCGAATGGTGTAGCTTGATCGAACAACATCTGAACAGGAGTAGTATTACCCTCTTTGAAATCTTGATAAAAAGAGCATGCGCGATCCACCCACGAGCTGTAGAGACAAGGGACAGTTTGGTTTCCTCCTCCCAGCTGACCAGATCCTCCCGTGTGGGGAGGAGACGTTGGAAGGGTTTCTGGCCTATGCCAAATATGTGCTTGACAACTGATGTAATGGACGCAAACAAAATAAACAAGTGAAAAACAACGAAATGTTTAGTATTGGCATCATTACTATTTGCGAAATTCGTCGTCTAAAATTAGAAGATTTCTGAAGTTGTATTCATTGTGGTTGCCATTATATAACATTTGTTACAACAGCCATTTGGCCATCACAGTTGGTATAATAAATATTTGATATTTTATACTTGCCTTACCAATTGCTCTGCGTTGTTCTTTCAACGATCTGACTACAGGGAGTGAGTGAGTATGGTTTTACGCCGCTTTAAGCAATATTCCAGCAACATCAAGGCGGGGAACATCAGTAATGGGCTTGACACTCTGTACCGATGTGGGAAATCGAACCGGGCCTTTGGTTTGACGAACGAACGCTTTAACCACTAGGTTACCCCACCGACCCTATCTGGTTACAAAGCTTATTATACCGTGTACAGTGTGCCCCACGCAGCATCCCAGCACCACAGCAGAAAGTTGATATTGAAATTATGTGTCATTTATGCTGACAAAAACATTAAGGAAGGGAACTCATGAACACACATACGGTTCATTACCACCAGGCTGGCTCCGGGAAAGGACTTGGAATGGGGGTCTACTCCCATTTGTGAGAACTCTCAATTGTGAGACTCCCAGTTGTGAGACAGTGGAGTAGGTAATTAACAAAGAAAACACACCATATTCCCCTATCTGATAGAATGGATTAACCCTAGCTAATTAGGGATTAGCTATGTAACTGAACCTTGTGAACGGAACAGAAGTGGTGAATAATCACATTTCATTAGATAAACATTTTTTTCAATATTAGGATGTTTACAGAAATATTGGGAAGAAATTGATGTCTAACGACATGGAGGTGGAAGATTGGGGCAATCGTTTCGCTCTGGCAGAATTTACCAGTGCTCGTGAATGTTGACGTTAGTGGTAAAGGAACTAGACCTGCATTACTTCGGGCTTTCCTCCCACATTAAGCAGACACGCCCTGATATAACTGGAATACCGTTCAAAGCAGCATTAATAACTACAACGCATCATCTACGTGGATGTTAGAAATATTTCAAACAGAAGCACTAATGTGCTTCTATAGTAATAATGGCACTAAGGGTGGGCATACGTCCTTACAAGTGCAATGGCACACACACACGTGCGTGCACGTCAGTATGTAAATGCAGTCTTAAACGCGACACTAATCCCCATTCAGGTCACCAAATATATTTTTTTTTCATAATCTATTTATATACAGCTAGGCTTGAACACAGGCGGTTTGTTTTTCCCTCGATCACTGGATGTCAATATCAGCGGCACATCGTATTATCAATCTCTACCCCCTGGGGATCATACAATTCTTGCAGCCATTTAGACCCACCAACGTTTGAATAATGCAATACAGAATGCACTGTACTGATGAAAGAAAACAAGCAGTTGCCTCGGTATAATTAACATTTATTATGACATGTTAATGCTACTCATATAAGCAAGCACGCCCGCCAACGTTTCCTCTCCTGAAGGGACTATTTGGTCTGGCGGAAGCAGATATCCATATTTTCCCGTGTCACGCAGTTCAACACCGACAGAGTACTTGATATCAGCCACACCGTATGTCCAGTCCACACTACTTCCGGAAGCCACATCTAGCAAAACAACACGTGGTCATTTCAACAAGTTCGTTTATACGGACAAAATGTGAGAAAATGCAAGTGTCCGCTTAAGTGAGCTTCGACTACATAATTTTAAGTATTATATTGTTAACATCTCAATGCTCTGAAAAGTCCCCTGATACGAGCTATAGCTTGTCAATGAATCTGAATCTCTTTCAAACGTACCAGTAACACACAAAGCAGATACACTTAATGTACGATCTATAAATCAAATTCACCCTAACATACTAAGGAATCCTTATCAATATATTTTAAATAAGCATACACTTCCGCTCATACGTCAACAGATCGTAATATACGTACATATTATGTTGGCAATGGAACCGTACTTGTACTTGGTTCCATGGACCGCCTCAATGGCATCCACTGCTGCAGCTGAAGTCACCTTCTGAAGTGAAAATAGACCAAACTCGGGTTTACTATCACCTCATTTTATTCATTACGGTAGATATTAATGTTCCTTATGACTGATGACTGGGGGCGTAGTGGGTGAACTGGCGCCAGGCTAGTGACCCAGCGAGCTTGAGGTGACGAGATCGAGCCCACCTGTGACCGGGTGTTAAAACCTTGGAGTCAACTTTGTGCGCAGACTCTTTCAGTGTTGTCACAACCCCTAGTGTACAGTACACAACCCTGTGCACTTAAAAGAACCCACGAATCCGTTGGTATATGACAAGATGGTGGCCACATCAATTGTTGCGGGTACAGTAAACTTGGACAAAGTATTGTGACTATGTGTCCCAGTCCACCCAGCTGTGAATGGGTACATCGTTAGGATGGGAAAGCCACATGCACTCGGTGCGCTGCCGTTGAGATTGACATCCAATGATCGAGGGAAAAGACAAAGCGCCTTTGAGCAGTTGAGCTGGACATCGGCGCTATACAAATGTTAGTATGTATGTACTATGGTAAAATACGTATGCACTATCCACAATGATTAATGTCTGTAACAACCGAACACAAGTTGTGATAAGTACTTTTTTATGAGGTTATTGTTACTAGCATAGACTGTCAGATACTGTATTAACATTATTTGTATGTATGCTACATTTGTATGTCGATGTACTTTCTTTGATGGTTTGATACGGAGATAATAGTTCCGTCAGTCTGTCTTTTTCACCGTGTTGCAACAATACAAACTGATGCATTATGCAAGTAGTGTATTTTCAAAACTATGCTCCCCAACAAATTCTTCTACAGTAACGTTAACTGTGTTGGGTCTGTGTCAGTGATGTCAATTCTTGAGCCTCCAGAACATTTGACATTTATCCAATCGACTACCTGAATTTAGATGCGAAACCATGTCACATTGAGGCCCAGGTGAAATTCGTAAAAAACAAAAAGTGCTACGTGTGAAATCATGTGATTGTTCCGCCGTTGTGCTGAGCCTGATACAACCATAAACTAATAATTAACTAAAATTACGTATGTGTGCGTTTTAGTGTGTGTGCGCTTTTTTTGGGGCCTTGATCTGATTTTTTTTTTTTTTTTTTTTTTTTTCCGGTTGTAGTTTTGTTGTTGTTGTGTTTGTTTTTGGGTTGTTTTTTTATGTTGGTGCATTTTCTTTTTGCATTTTTATCACATACTGAGTCAAAAAAGAAACTTCACATTCTTTCTTCAGGGCACTATAAAAGAACAAGAGATGGTAAGATGGTTAAATTGTTATTATTTCATTGCTGAGATCTGTGTGATGTACTCGATACACTGACAGTGCCATAATCACTTCCATTAGGCTACACCGCCGTTCCAAAACATGGGTATACAGATTGTCAACTCACAAGAATATAAATGCGAAATGTCTCAGTTCAATATCATGTATGGCCACCCCGCGCATTCACCACTGCCAAACACCGTCTCCTCATCGACTGCCTGATGCTTGTGAACACGTGGTTGGGGATTCTGCGCCATTGCTCTTGCAAGGCAGCGCCAAGTTCCTGCAAAGTCTGAGGTTGGTTCCTAAGACCACGAAGCCTTCTCCCAAGTGCATCCCAAACGTGCTCTATTGGATTAAGGTCAGGGGACCTCGATGGCCAGTCCATGACGTTGATTCCAGCGTTTTGAAGGTTATTTCGTGTCAACATCGGGGTATGCGGCCGAGCATTATCATGCTGGAACTGTAGACCTGGGCCATGAGCCGCCATGAAAGGAACGAGTTCAAGGGTGAGCACCTGGTCGCGGTAAGTAGCAGCTGTGAGGTTTCCACGGATGACCAGACGTCGGGAACGGTTGTTCCCACAGAAAGCACCCCACACCATGCAACTTCCGCCCCCGAATCTGTCGACTTCCTGTACACAACATTGGGCATACCGTTCACGACGTTGTCTCCAGACTCTATGCCCGCCGTCCGCGAATCTGAGGGTAAACCTGGATTCATCGCTAAAGACGACTCGATTCCAGTCTCTCTGGGTCCATCGGAGGTGACGTTGGGCCCACAGCACACGTTGACGTTGATGAAACGGCGTCAATATTGGCCCAGGATACGGACGTCGAGAATGGAGATTGGCAGCCCGCAACCGATTTCGAATGGTCTGTGAGGACAGTCGACCTTTAAATATCTCAGCCCTGGTTCGTGTAGCCGGCAGGAATCTGTCACGTAGGTGATGTAGGACGATTTGACGGTCTTCTGCTCGTGACGTCACACGTGGACGACCCGACCTTGGGCGATCAGAAGTGGTGCCAGTTTGTTGTGGACAACCTCGCAAGTCATACACAGTACGACGGCTGCATCCCATTGCGACGTCAATAACTGTTCTTCCCGCTTGCAACATGCCAACGGCACGTTCACGATGCACATTTGACAATCGTTGCATTTCAAGTACCGTTAGAACTGTAGTTTAAAAGTGTTTTTTCAATTCTTGAGGCCAATGCAAACACGTGCATATGAAGAAAACTTCGATACGAAGATCACGTGATCGACTGCACGTGCAAAACCTGATTTGGCACTTACGTCATTTGCACGACGAATGGATGGGTTTGAGTGGGTTTTGCTTACGTTTTCATAGAGTCGAAAGATAGGGATCCAAATTCGGATACATAGATGTATCATCAGAGAAAATTATTCATTATTTTCAAATTACATTTTGTGAAGTTTCTTTTTTGACTATATTATGTTTTGGTGTGTGTGTGTGTGTGTGTGTGTATAATTTAAGTATGACTTGTGTCTAACAGTGTATCTGCGTGCGCGTGTGCGTGCGTTCGTTTCGTGTCTGTGTGCCAACTGGTCAGCCAACCGGTTTTTTTTAACTTTTGAGAAGGAAAAATAAGACAGTTGATGCTCCACTCACACTCTCTAAAGGTTCGAATCACATGCAGGACAATTCAGTACAAACGGTGACGCACCTGTGCTTCAGCATCTTTAGGCAAATCAGTGGTGTATGCCCAAGGTGTCATCCACAACTGAGAGAAGCTGTGGAAGTCAATAAATCCAACGATGTTGACGGTTTCGTTCTGAATGTAGTTGGCGATGCCGCCGACCACCTTCTCAGAGAACGCCGATGGACCACAGTAGGAATCAGAGCAGGGGTCAGTGCTCGCACCTGGCACCTCTGAAAATGTCGAGATGAATGAGTGAATGAGGTTGGTGTAACACCACTTTGAACAATATATCAGTTTCATCACTGTATGTCAGATAGGTGGACCTAAAGCTCGAGGTAATTTACCGCCCGGGAAATCCCGCCCCCAAGTGTGTGAGTACGCCCTTTTAGCAACATTCTATATTCCAGCAATATCACGGCGGCGGGCACCAGAAATGGACTTCACACATTGTACCCATGTGGAGAATTGAACCCGGGTCTTCAGCGTCACGAGCGAACACTTTAACTACTAGGCTACCCACTCCCCAACCAGCCATGGGTATGTTGATGAAATACACGTTTAGCAGGGCGTATGTAGGATCGGAACCCGATCACATGTGCCAGGAACACTACAGGGATGCCCAGCATCGCCTTAGATGACTTGACCTCCGTACTTAAAACATAGTGTACGCTACGCGTTCGGTTCCAATTGAAATTTATTCGCCATCAATTCAGAAAAGCATGTCTCTGATTTCTAAACACACTAGGTTTATCTCCTAAATGGACCATAGTAAATTTCGATTTTGCGGCATTTCAACAGAATAAAAATCAATCTTGATTGGGCAGTCATTGGTATTTGCATTCAACCGAGTGACAGTAAGTTTAGTGGAGATACTAAATTCTATTCTCTACTGTAAACATTTTTCATCACGCACAAGTATGGATATTCCATGTAGCGATACACATGAAGCAGCAGACGCGTGAAGGTCCGGGTTAGCATTGGTCTTCAGTAACCCATGCTTGTCCTAAAAGGCGACTAACGGGATTGGGTGCTATACAATATGTATTGTATTAGGTACCAAAATGACGCCATGTTATTGTACACCTTTAAACTTTATATATGCAAACTTAGGTTGACATATAGCACGGTTCACACTCCTACCCAGAGTTCCATGCGGCCAGCCAGCAAAGTACCTCTGCCACAGGCCAGAAAGATGTGACGATTCGTCACATCTTGCATCGTCCATTCAATATAATGTTTCTTAACTCTATTTTTGACGACTCTACACATCTAATTAAACATCTTTGATAGAATGGTTTAGTTTCACTGAGAAATATCCTAAAACATGTAACACTATTTCGATTTGTTTGCATAAGTTGTACGGCTTCACGTGCTGTCATCGAAGCCGACGAAGCGCAAACGATGCAGCCAGCTTGATATCTAAATATGTATTGTCATAAACCTTACTGTCGTAGTTGTGGAAGAATATATATGTAACACTGTAAAACATTGTGAAGAGCGCGCCGAAAAGCTTCGTAAGGCCAGTCTCTTCTTATTATGAATATGCGCGTTTGTTTACAAACAAGAGAAAAGTCCGGTCACGTGATATGCAAATTAGCCTGTGGCAGTGATGCTGTGGACCCGGTTCTCACCTCGACTTCCGGTTTGGACCGGATATGAGCTACATATTGGACTCCCTGCGACTGAAGTCACATGTTCTCATTCCTAATGTGCAGGACTACATTAACTATGAACAGAAACTCAACACAATGTCCAAACACCCTGTAGGAGCTGGGTTTGACAACGGTGTATATCGTGACCTCGACGAGGTACGTGTTCCAAATAACGAAAACAGGAACGCCATCTGTCATTGTAGTAACCTGGAATTGTATCAGGGTTATTTTCCCTTGCCTTGATTTCCTTTTCCCGAAATTAGGGAAACAATGTACAAATATAGTTTGGCATCGGAATGTGCCTTTGAAAGTGAATCTTCGTCTGTGCCTGAGGCCGTGACATACTTCCATAAAGACCCGTGAAGATCCGGGTTAGAATTGATATAAGGGTAATGCTATTTTTGAGGGCATTATCATTTACAGAAGCCCGAGGTCTTCCATTAACTGCCCGACGAAGGAGGGCAGTTGAAAAAGCCCGAGGGCTTCTGCAACTGATAATGCCCTCAAAAATAGTATTGCCGTTATTATTGCTAAAATACATGGAATTTGTGTTGAAAAGAAAAAGGAAACAATGAAGAAATTTGCCTGTAAGTTTACCCAAATCAACTTCTGAGGGGGTTGACTGCCCAATGCAATTACGTCATCGAACAATTCAAGTGACGTCACAACAGAAAGTGACGATATTCGACCTTGGCCTTTGAGAATACCATAGCCTACAACATGTCAAACTATGTCAGTGTTCGGTTTTGGTCCATCAACAGCCTTAATAGTGCAATTGTTAAGGTTAGCACCAACAAGAAAGCCAATATTACCGCTATTCAAAGCGGGAATTCGGGTTGCTTTGACTTGTTTGACCCAGAATATCTGCCAGTCGAAAGCCAATTAATGTCGAATGAACCGTAAGCCCACGCACCCACTATGACGTCACTTGACAACAGAACTGATAGTGGCCCGTCGTTAAGGTTGAGCGGTCCAATATCATTTGCAGCGGCCCGCAGATATCTGATAATAGGAGGGCCGTTTCATGACAATTCCATGTATTTTAGCTATAATCTTCAGTAACCCATGCTTGTCGTAAGAGGCGACTAACGGGATTGGGTGGTCAGACTCGCTGACTTGGTTGACACTTGTCATCGTATACAATTGCGTAGATCGATGCTCGTGCCATTGATCACTGGATTGTCAGACTCGATTATTTACATACCGCTGCCTTATAGCTGGGCTAGTGCGGCGTTAAACAACAACCAAACCAAAAACACAAACCAGCTTCAGTATCCAGCACAAAACCTACCGCACCAGTGGAAGTCCCAGTTTCTGTTAGGATCAACCCCGACACATTTCTGACCGTCACGCTTGCTTCTCGTCTTCCTCCACATCCGGTCCTGAATAGGGTTCGAGAATAATCAAGTGTCTGATGGGAGGCCACAGAAAAATAAACATAATCCAAGAAGATAAAGCGATAAATCGATGTTCGTGACACCGGTGGGAATATCGTTACTACCGATTCCACCTGTCATAAATGAGAAATATGTTCATGTTTCAAAACAATAGATTAAATTGAAGATGAAATTTTCAGTATAGTGTTAATAAATTAAAATGTAAATTTATCATGGCTAGAAAAGAAATCAAACTTATCCTTTGGAACCCAGTCATTTTATCAGTTTTAGCCGTCGGTTCAACGTCAGTTAATGCGACGTTCATCAAACATATACTTATGGAATTTTTACGATAGACAAAAACAGTTTAAAGGTATATTCTTCTTGCTATTTTGTACATGTTGAAGTTGTCGCCTTATTGGAATCTAAAAATAACTTACGGTTGTTCGGGTGTATTCGTAACCGTCGACGTTGACGACGGGGACGATGTAAATGTCAAAGGCTTTGAGAGCTGCCGTCACATCCGGGTTTTTCCCATTTTGTTCTAGAAGCTGATACAGAAATGACACAGAGGTGAACCACAGTACTGTACAGTACATGCATAGTTTACAGTTATTGAAATACTAGTATGAATGACACACTTGTATTGATGTAGGTGTAAACCGCTGATAAACAATTGTCATTTATTAGAATCTACACAGAAACGTCTATGACATTTCGACAATAGTTACGTTTTACCTAGATGAGAGTGATGTTTTAACTGCACGAGGGTAAAGCTGTACGTGAACGAGAGTAACGTTCTCTCGTTAATGTTTTACCTGCACGAGGGTTACGTTAAACGTGAACGAGATTAACGTTTTACCTGTACGAGGGTCACGTTAAACGTGAACGAGAGTAACATTTTACCTGTACTAGGGTTACGTTAAACGTGAACGAGAGTAACATTTTACCTGTACCAGGGTTACGTTAAACGTGAACGAGAGTAACATTTTACCTGTACCAGGGTTACGTTAAACGTGAACGAGATTAACATTTTACCTGTACCAGGGTTACATTAAACGTGAACGAGAGTAACATTTTACCTGTACCCTAGTTACGTTAAACGTGAAAGTGATTTACATTTTACCTTACGAGGGTTACGGTAAACGTGAACGAGAGCAACGTTTTACCTGTACGAGGGTTACGTTAAACGTGAACGAGAGTAACGTTTTACGTTTACGATTCATGTGGTTACGTTAAAAGTGAACGATATTAAAGTTTTACGTAGACGATGGTTACGTTCTACCTGGACGAAAGCAACGTTTTATCTATGCCCGCGTTACCTGTACCAGACTGACTGTTTTCTTGTTTTACCGTTAGATCAATAACCCTGTAGCCGGAAGCGTTTCGATACGGGACTCATCAAACATGTGCCTCAATGCTTGAATTACACGCCTTGTTTTGTTGTGTGTATGAGCAGAAGCTTCGTGAGTTAGTGGACATGTATGTATTCTCCAACAACCATATATTACATACAGTAAACTTTAACGAAAACGCTTAAAAGAAACTGACGAATATAACGAACAGTGGTATATTTGTTTCCCGACACTTGCTGTATATTTTCGTCAAACTATCACGAACTATGATTACAAGGAACTAAATATAGTGGTCCCTTTGAATTAAAACTGCAGTTGGCTGTGAATTAAATACACAGGCTATACGCATGTAAGCAAATCCTATCCAGTGCACCATATGAGTAAAATATACACATTATACATATTCGCACGTGTCCTGTCATGTACTAAATATAAGTAAAATAAACATATCATATAGAAAATACCACACTCGGTCTCATTACATACGAATTATACGAAACGCGTGACCTTCCTATGGTTTCTGACCTCGCTTTCGCTCGGTCAGATACCATAGGAAGGACACTCGTTTCGTATAGGAAGGACACTCGTTTCGTATAATTCGTATGTAATGAGACCGAGTGTGCTATTTTATATATTACCCACGTCTTATATGCATTGAATTGACCAATTAGCGTATTTTTGCTATTGTTATGGCGGAAGAATTTTGTTCTGAAGTACACTTTTGCATGACGTTACACTGTATTGACGTCACTGCGCCATTCTCGTCTGTCCCCTTGGTAACCGACGTCACGATGCATGCCAGTTGTCATCGCCTCTCGTACAGCCTCCTACAGTAAAGTAATCCGTAGCACCCCGTTTCTTGGTTTGCAACTGCTTCACTCGGCTAACATCACTGGTGGAAACATTGCGTTTATGTTTTTCGACGGATATAATGTCTCAGTTCGACTCACCATTAAACAGCGACACGGCAACGTTCGCAATGTTTACATTCCTACAATGCATCTAAGTTGTAGAATGAATGAATTCACGTGTTTGTTATGAATGAAAAAGTAGTTTCGTCACAACGTGACCTAATTGAGAGGTCATCGGTTATCCAATCAAATAGTTAGAATCTCAGGTCAAGTCGTTACGACACAGGTCAACGCGATACGATACTCGTGTGACGTACGAGATTAGTACTACCCATACGTTGACCACGTGGGTAATAAAGATATATACGCACCTGTCCTGTCATGTATATCACTGTGGCAGTTGAGATCCATTCTCTGGCGTGGATGCCTCCCTCCAGCCATATTCCTTGTTTTCCTGGGCGAGAGTCCACTGAAATCTACACATTCATACAGTCACTAAAAATGTCAGTATTCCTGTCAAGTTAAGGAAGCGAACGAACAATAGTGAAATGAATGAAGACCCAATTCGTGACATTGGAATTCCCTTAAGTAGAAAACACTTGTGTTACAACAAAAAGTTAAAACTGGATCATTAACAGAAAACCTCACTGTCTTTAATAATAGAGTATAGAAATAAAAAAAAAACATTTGTATATTGGTTTATTCTTTCTTTCTTTGTTGTTTTACGCCGCACTCAGCAATATTCCGGATATATGGCGGCGGTTTGTAAATAATCGAGTCTGGACCAAACAATCTAGTAATCAAGAGCATGTCTATTGAGCTTCGATCAACAGCATGGGATACGATGACATATCAACCAAGTCAGCGAGCCTGACCACCAAATCCCATTAGTCGCATCTTATGACAAACTTGGATTGCTGAAGACTGTCAAGTGCATAAATAATTATGTATCATCCGAACACCATATCCCCAATAAAGTTGGTCCGGTAATGTACTGTTTGAACCGTTCGCTCGTCTCGCCAAAGGACTGGGTTCCTCAAATCTGTACAATGTGAAGCCCAATTCCGTCTTATTGCTGGACTATTGCTAAAAACATATTCACTCACTCATCCCTAAAACGTATTGTGTAAATTTCACAACATTATTATTATTATTATAGGATATTTATATAGCGCACATAAACGCAACTAGTGCTTGATCAAGGCGCTGAAAGCACTGTCGATGCGATTTACAACTTAGCATGTCAAGAATACATGTTGAATCATATATATTTGTTGCCTAAACAGTCTTTATTGGACCTTTATTGAGCTTCAACAAGCACTGTAATGACATATGTGTTAGCGTTGTGTTTTACAGTTGAGGGTTATGCATCACCTTGATTCCATTCAACTGGCGGCCTTCAAACGACTGGGTGATAGGGAACGTCTGAGCTATATCAGAATACTGAGAAACGATGTCTTTCATCCAGTCCATGATCTGAAAAAGACAGAAAATAACATTTCTTACTTCATGAAACCGATGTGTTTATAAATTATATCATTTATATGCTTACGGAAACGTCTCCAATAATAGTAACGAAAATGGATCTTTAATGAAAGAAAATCCATGGTATACTTAATGGAAATATGTCACGGCCTCGGTTTTTTGTAAACAGCAAACATGCTTGCACGCATAGTCTTTCAAACGCACATTCCGATGCCAAACTAGATTTTTGCAGTGTTTCCCTAATTTCGAGAAAGTGATTTGGTTTGGTAATTGTTTAATGCCGCGCTCAGCAACATTACAGCTATATGGCGACGATCTGTAAATGATCGAGTCTGGACCAGACAATCCAGTGATCAACAGCATGAGCATCGATCTACGCAATTCGATACGATGACAGGTGTCAACCAAGTCAGCGAGCCTGACCACCCAATCCCGTTAGTCACCTATTCCTACAAGCATGTCGAGAAAGTGACATCAAGAAAAGTTAAAATAACAATTCCAGGCTGCTCTAAAAGACAGATGGCGTTCCTGTTTTCGTAATTTGGAACACGTACCTCGTCGAGATCATGATATACACCGTAGTCAAACCCAGCTCCTACAGTGTGTTTGGATATTGTGTTGAGTTTCTGTTCATAGTTAATATAGTCCTGCACATTAGGAATGAGAACATGTGGCTTCAGTCGCAGGGAGTCCAATATGTAGCTCATATCCGGTCCCAATCGGAAGTCGAGGTGAGAACCGGGTCCGGAGCTTCTGTGCCATATGTCAACCTAAGTTGGCATACATAAAGTTTTAGGTTTACAATAACATGGTGTCATTTTCGTACTTAATACAATACGTTGTGTGAGATAAACCATGTGTTTAATTTTATATCAAATGCAAAACAAACAAATTGATTTGTCCAATCATTATTATACTGCCTCTAGCAACAGAGATATTAATCACTATTTGTGGTTCATTGTTCGTGAATGGTGTAATGTAACAGGGCATTGGGTCCTGGTTTCAGATGTCTGTCTGACCCACTGAAAATAGTACAGGACCCATAGAATAAAAATCGAACACACGTTTTAGATTTGACAAAAGCCGAGATATCATTTGACTGACATTGCACGATACAGTTTCCGTATTTAAAATGCGCGTTTATTGATTCTCTTGAAACTAATAACCTTATTTAATCAAACTCTTATGACTTCTACCACAAGTGCAGAGATCAAACATTTCTATTTAATGAAACCTAACTTATGCTTTTTTAATTACTTAAATGTTTCAGACACAAATATTTTACGACTCTGGCCAGTGCTTATTTGTAGTACATATAAGTCCTTCACGTTGCATCAGTGATCTTGCAACTTTAATCATGATAAATTAATCACAAGCTACATTGTACACAATATTTTAATGATGTAATTTCGTATAAAACATTGGCCTGCCGTGTAACATAAATAATAATAATAATGATCAATATCAACTCACTCTTTTCTTCTCCAAGTATTGTTGAAATTGTTCGAGTTGATGGAACTCAGCTTCATTGTCGGGTGTCACCCGAATAACTTTGTGCCTGTATTGATAGATAAGACGACATTACAGTCACAAGCGAATAAGAGAAAAGTTTGTGAGATTGGGTAAACATCACCCTGGTCAGTTTATACAGTTAAACCATAACGGGTCAGCTTGAAATGAAAGCCAAGTCCGGGTCAGGCGCTCAAGTGAAACCCACTAGTGGGGGTGACAAATCTGCAAACGTCGATCCGTTGAGTTCTGGCATGAATTAATTAGCTGCGAAATGATCCCCTCCTGACAACGAAAACATACATTATTATGGCAAATGTAATCCGCGCAGACCCATACGTTGTAAATATCACATGAAACTTTGAAATTATTCTACTTTTAAATGATTATAATGTGAAAATCCTTACCCATCGTAGCGAACTTTTTCAGCAAACAAAGTGCCGACGCAACACACTAAAAGTATAAGACGGAGCATGTCTCCCTGCCTCACTCCAGCCTTTGGTGGTTAATAATAAGATATGGACCGACACGCCTTATCACCTGGTGTGAACAGTCAGGTGAATTTGAAAAAATACACCAATGCATGTGATAGACGTTCAAAGCTCAGGTATATGATTGTAAGCATAATCGGCAGTGTAATGTGCGAATACTTGTTAGGGAACGAAAGGTTAAGTATTGAAGGGTTGTGGTTGGACCTGAGTCAAGAGTGGGGATATTTAGGTCGGTGAATAAGAACACTATTTCATTTTTCATAAAACAGGACATGCAGCATGTCCCCCGAATAATGAATTTCGGGTGTTCGGGTATTGGCGAATGGGTGGGTAAAACCTAGAGACATTGTATTTCACGTTTTTCGAGGTTTATTTCATTTTAAAAAAAAATTTTGAAACATTGTAAGCAGCAACAACAAATACCTTTCCACGTCCATAAGAAATCTTTATTAATAGCAGAGTCGGTTGTACAATCGAATTGTAAATCCATTAAAGAATGCAGCCCTGTAAAGGTCCGGGTTCACAATAATCAAATTGATAAGCCTAAATAGCTGAAAGAAATACACTAAACGCCCAAAGAAACGTTACCCTCCTTCGTTAATGACGGAGGTACCTATTTACAGCTGGCGTTGTGATGCGTGGACGTCCATTTCTTGGTCTGTCTACGGTGACCCCATTCTGTCTGAAGCCCTGAATAAGTCTTATAACCGTGATACGGTGGCATCCGAGGGCGTTCGTAACATCATTGTATGTCGACCCCATCGGCACCATCCCAATGGCTCTTCTCTCTCATCAGCTGTTAATCGTGGCATATTTCTCATACTTCTACTTGTACTTATCATATCATGCATTCTGGTCTCTCTTTATATCCTACATAATCATTCTACATGTGAAATGGATGCAAATACTGCTTGAATATTGCTGGGAATGCCATTGTTAGGAATGCCATTGATCACTACTGACTGTGGAATATTTATTGTCGTTAGTATGTACAAAGTCACACATAACGTATGATAGGTATTGACACTTGTAATTGGAAGCTGGTACCGAAGATAAAAAATAGCAACGACTTTCCTGATGATATTTAGCTTTTTTTTATTGGGGTAGGATAGGAGTGAGTATGCTATGGGCAATGCTTTCTCAACAATGTCAGCCAAGTTCCTGATGAAAGGAGACATGGATGGCCTTTTACTCTAAGGTGGCAACATGTTGTGCAATTGTGATTCCAATAATACCTTAGACCTTTGGGAATACGAGGGTTAGGCCTATCTGGTCAGCATATTGGATATACTACTCCTTTCAATATTCTAATTGAGAGGAGTTTTCAAAGTTGCATAATTGTTATATCCACTGACATAATTGTAATATCCACTGACAAGACAAAGAACCCAGATATGTTATCATCGGGTATGTGGCTACAACCCGTGAGTCATCACCACACTATCAGTATGCATTGTACCTGCCCTATACTAACCCAGCAAGTGTAAACAGTGGCTGTCTGGTTGATGGAATATATTACTAATGAGGATGATTACACAATGACATTTAGAAAGTGGTCAGTCGCGGTGGCTGAATGGATTAGGCGGCCGGCTTTGTGCGCTGGCGATTTGGTGCCTGACTCTGAGGGTGTGGGTTCGAATCCCCAAAAAGTACTAGAAGTATAATCCCAAATATAACTTATGCTACAATAGTGAGAATGATCAAAGAGTTACGAAGAGTTGTAAAGAACTGTCCATTCTGTACATTCTTAACAATGGATGTAATACAGTCTGATCATTTATTGCTGTAGGTAAAACGAATATTAATTTTCTAAAAATCAAAACTTCAAGTTTTACATGTCCTTGTAACAGAAAAACACTTTCTTTTCATGCAATTGGTTTAAGTGGTGGGTACTTCCTGCAGGGCAACACATGCCTAAAATTTTCTCAAACGCCACGTGTCGTCACTGATCTACAGGGGCCTGTAAATAGTCGTCCACTGTTTTGGATCTTACGCCAAATAGAATCTGTTTTGGTAGACAAGCGAGGCACTTTTATCTCTGACCTGGACGTAAGTGGGTCTAGTTATAGAAAAAAATGTGGATTAAATGAACAAGAGCGTTTCATGAAAGTTTCAATTGTGTTCGTGTAATACGACACATGATCAAGACATGTGATAAGATGACTTTGCCTGATAACAAGTCAGTCCGTAACAGTACACATCTTGGTCAGCGTGTGATTGATACATGCATATACCTGTCACCTCTAGGACAGTCCGGAAGACCAATGTTTATGTCAGTTGATCTGTGTTATCTTCAAGCTGCTGACAAGTGATAGTCTGTTTGTAAATGTACGTTGTAACTAGGGTGAGTGAGTGAGTTTTACGCCGCACTCAGCAATATTCCAGCTATATGGCGGCGCTCTGTAAATAATCGTGTCTGGACCAGACAATCCAGTGATCAACAACATGAGCATCGATCTGCGCAATTGGGAACCGATGACATGGGTCAACCAAGTCAACGAAACTGACCACCCGATCCCGTTTGTCGCCTCTTACGACAAGCATAATCGCCTTTTATGGCACGCACATGGGTTGCTGAAGACCTATTATACCCCGGACCTTCACGGGTTGTAACTAGGGATGTAACGATACATAGATACATCGATGCATCGATACTTTTTCTAAGACGATACAATTATCGATACATTCAAAGTTGTATCGATATTTAGTTTTGAAAGTATCGGTTTAAATATGTTTATGAATCGTTTACATTTTGTATCATGTTTTTTTTATGTTATGAGAGTTATAAATGATTATTTTTCATGCACAAAGACGGGAAATTAGAACTTTTTAATCTCTGAGAATAAAAAATGTTGATCTCTTCACGGACAATTATAAAATTAAATATTAATGTTCAAAATGAAACTAAATTTACGCATTAATGTAGTGAAAATAGGTATCGTGATACGTATGGAATCGTGACATGGGTATCGTGATACGTATCGATTCATGAAACTTATGTATCGTGACATCCCTACTACAACCAAATCGTAATCGGAATATTTGCATTAACAGCGACGTGGCATGTCTTATATTTCCCTTTAAACTTGGCTTAAACTTATTGGCATGAACAAAATCATATCATTTTATTATATCTACCTAAACATTTGGCTTAAACTTATTGGCATGAACTAAATCATATCATTTTATTATACTTACCTTAACGCTAGGCTTAAACGTATTTGCATGAACTAAATCATGTCATTTTATTATACTTACCTTAACACTTGGCTTAAACTTATTGGCATGAACTAAATCACATCATTTTATTATATCTACCTAAACACTTGGCTTAAACTTATTGGCATGAACTAAATCATTTCATTTTATTATACTTACCTTAACACTAAACTTAAACGTATTGGTATGAACTAAATCATATCATTTTATTATACTTACCTTCACACTTGGCTTAAACTTAAAGGCATGAACTAAATCATATCATTTTATTATACTTACCTTAACACTAGACTTAAACTTATAGGCATGAACTAAATCATATCATTTTATTATATCTACCTAAACACTAGGCTTAAACTTATTGGCATGAACTAAATCATATCATTTTATTATACTTACCTTAACGCTAGGCTTAAACTTATTGGCATGAACTAAGTCATATCATTTTATTATATTTACCTTAACACTAGACTTAAACTTATTGGCATGAACTAAATCATATCATTTTATTATATCTACCTAAACACTTTGCTTAAACTTATTGGCATGAACTAAATCACATCATTTTATTATATCTACCTAATCACTTGGCCTAAACTTATTGGTATGAACTAAATCATATCATTTTATTATACTTACCTTAACACTAGACTTAAACTTATTGGCATGAACTAAATCATATCATTTTATTATATCTACCTAAACATTTGGCTTAAACTTATTGGCATGAACTAAATCATATCATTTTATTATACTTACCTTAACGCTAGGCTTAAACGTATTTGCATGAACTAAATCATGTCATTTTATTATACTTACCTTAACACTTGGCTTAAACTTATTGGCATGAACTAAATCACATCATTTTATTATATCTACCTAAACACTTGGCTTAAACTTATTGGCATGAACTAAATCATTTCATTTTATTATACTTACCTTAACACTAAACTTAAACGTATTGGTATGAACTAAATCATATCATTTTATTATACTTACCTTCACACTTGGCTTAAACTTAAAGGCATGAACTAAATCATATCATTTTATTATACTTACCTTAACACTAGACTTAAACTTATAGGCATGAAGTAAATCATATCATTTTATTATATCTACCTAAACACTAGGCTTAAACTTATTGGCATGAACTAAATCATATCATTTTATTATACTTACCTTAACGCTAGGCTTAAACGTATTGGCATGAACTAAATCACATCATTTTATTATATCTACCTAATCACTTGGCCTAAACTTATTGGTATGAACTAAATCATATCATTTTATTATACTTACCTTAACACTAGACTTAAACTTATTGGCATGAACTGAATCATATCATTTTATTATATCTACCTAAACAATTGGCTTAACCTTATTGGCATGAACTAAATCATATCATTTTATTATACTTACCTTAACACGAGACTTAAACTTATTGGCATGAACTAAATCATATCATTTTATTATATTCTCCTTAACACTTGGCTTAAACTTATAAGCATGAACTAAATCATATCATGTTATTATATTTACCTTAACACTAGGCTTACACTTATAATTATCAATCTTGTAGATTTTGTAATGCATGTAACAAAATATATTTATGTACATGCTAAATAACAAAGGAGACAATTAACAGCCTTATTTAAGGCCATATTTGCCTGTAATAAGACTTTTTCTGAAAACATTTTGGTAGACATAGAGAGGTGAGTTTTATTGTACATTATGGTCAGTCTAACACTCCACAATAAAGTTTATAACTTGCAAATGTGATTTGTCTTTACCAGATGGATTTCTTCGTTCTCCTGGTGAGGTT